ATAAATAAGAAGTGCAACTGAAAAAAAGCTAGTCTTCCAATTAATTTCTATAAAACGGAAATAAAATGTGGACCACAATCGATGAATGTCCAGAGGCATGAAACTTTATTGGCAATGACAACATGAGGTTTCAAAATTTTACATGAACAAAACTTCTACAAGCAGATATGCATCCACCTACAATGCAGCCATGACAGGAGCAGAACAAGTTTCCAGTGGTGAAGGACAGGACAGTAACTTTGGACCCACACTCGGTTTTTATTCATAGACGTGGAGGGATTTCTCTCCTTAAGTCCTAATGGGACTTACTGGGGAGCCTCTGGTCATTTGTAATAATTTTGGAAGTAGTCTGTGTCTCACAGTACTGCCCGAGTTCGCCGTCTCCATAATTTGTTAAATATCCCAGTGCAAAGAGATGGTCTTCCATACTTATCCACACACAGAAGCGATGCAGCCTAACATGCTGCCTCTCAGATATTTGCTCCAATGGTAGGCATTCGCTGTCATCTTGTGTCTAACGTCCGTCCCACTCACAGCCCTGCTCATCATTATTCGGTTTGCTTCACTGTTGCACATTCAGCAGTTTTGTGAATACCTTTGGTTATGTTTAAATCCCCCCTGTTTTATGAAAAGCGATGAGTGAAATCTTTATTATTTATCATTGTTCAGCATGATGTTTCACTAGCTGAACATGAAAAATACGTTTCAGTGATTCAAAGGGGCGTTCAGATGTGACTTGTGAATTCTGTACTTGATTTTGAAATGATAGAATACCGTCACACCCCGGCTCGACACCTTCAACATGTACTTTTGGTGTAAAAACAAAAGAATGCCCTTGTTGTGTGCCTTTCCTAAAACTAGAAGGCTTAAGATCCCTGTGTGTGGTGTAAACTTACAGTAACCACATGCAGGAAGTCTAGGACCAAAAACTAAGCAACCTCCAACTCAAGGAGGCTGTTTAACAGCTGATCAACTTCTTATCTTTGCTCAACAATGAAAAATAAATACTTGCTGTGAAGCATATACCACGTGGTCGTAGAAAGCTCCATCACACTGGATTTCCACAATATTAAACTGCATCCTGGAATAACCTGACATTTACAACTTTGCTCAAAATATAGAGATTGTTGTATAGACTGTTGCGCTGCTATCTAGTCACGTTTCCATAGCAAACACCATACTGGAGGTTTCTACGACAGCAGAATACAAATTTACATCCCCATGCAAAGCAGCGCTGCATTAACTCAGCTGATAAGGCCTGCTGACGTAGAGTGAGTGTGAGGCTGTGTGTCACAGTGACCGCTGTTGTTGTTGCATCGCTGAACTACATAGTGGTCAACCACAAAGGTACAAATAACCCGTGAAGGTGTTCCAGAAAAGATTACTAAGAAGAACCGGTCTCACTGAGAACACAAGGAACCACAACAACAGGTAAACACGTCAACCCAACTCTTTGACAGCTCCATCAAAATCATGAACAATTATTCTGGACAGCAAGAAAGACATCCAGATGAAGCTCCACATTTTTAAAGCCACGTATTGTTGCTCGGTTAAAAACGTCTTCCTCAAGGCCAGTTCATCAACAACAGGGCTACCTGTGACAACTGAGATCAGCCTCTCACCACCATGATTGGAAGGGTCCATATCATCTGCTCCCTCTTGAATTTGACTGACAAGAAGGAACGCCAACAAGCACATCGCCGTTAAACTCGGCCAAACAGGAGCATCACTGTGAAAAAGGAAAGTGGCACAATAGTTGTGCTTTCTTCATCACAGAACGTCCAAAAATCAACTACGACTCTATGAAGTGTGCAGGTCTGAACACTATACTTGTGTTCAGCGCTCCACTTCCTATTATTCCCACTGCAAAGAAACTGACTGCGATTCAGTGGCAGGAGTAGCAGAGGGTGAAAATGACTGAATGAAGTTACATTTCTAAAAAAGTGTTGGTTTTCACAAATACAGTATCGATAATATTAAATCACCTCACTGCATCCTGTAAAACATTCTGCTATGTAATCTATTCAGGTTTAGGATATGAAGGAACTCTTTGATGTGAACTGTTTCCAAATGACGACTAAAACAGATGTTAGAAGTGTTGTTAAATCATACGAGAGATTTCCATGTTTGTAGAAGGAGCAGGTGCCCGTGGTGGTTGAAGGTCATGCTATCAAGAAGCTGTTGTTGGTTGCTCTAATGCATGAAATCAAAAATGCATCACAGTGGTGCCGTGAAATCCCCAAAACTCTCAGAGAGGAACTTTAATACAACGAATCTGTTGCTTTGATTCTATCAAAACTGTATCTCTAACACGAAGAAAAAGCTTTACTGTATGAAATTTACACAGAGCTCTGTTCATTCTGGACTGAGTGGGAGGGGTTTTTGGGTTTTTTAGAATTTAAGTTCATTTGCTTGTCATCTCTGGGCAAGCTGACCAATCAGAGCAGCCTGGAGTTAGTGGGCTGGGGAGTGTAAAAAAGACAGGAGTATAAAAGAAAAACAGAATGTAACCAAAATAACCTCCAAAATCTGAGCCTGTGAGTGTACCCGGGCTCCTCAACCAGTCTCTATAAGCACATATGATACACGATGATGAGTGCCCACCTCTGGCCCTGGACGGACAGTAGTATGCACAATCAGCTGCTAAATGGAAGCATCACTTCCCTGCTGTAAAGTGCCATTCAAAGTGAGATTACTTTAAAAACGAACCTTATTACTCAAGAGAGAATCACACCCATCATCCTTGATAGTTTTACAAATGCAGTTAAATGTTCGTTCAGGTCACGTTACTGTTCTGTCAGCTCTGTTCCTCACGGACAACGACGATCGTAATGATAACAGCAGATTCAAGCATGTGGAGCCGTTCAGTGTGGAATAAACACCATCGCTAGACCTGACCCGAAGTTAGCTGTCACTGCAGCAAGCCACTCACCAAATGTTTGGACTTGAGCCTCGAACCTTCTCTCAAACAAATTAACGCTCCACTCTCCCACATGAGTAAATGTTCAATTGTACTGTGAGTCAACAGAAAAAGGGAAGATGACTTTTACCCCTAAAATCTTAACACTCTCAGATGTGTGTCTCTTGAACCCCTTATTACATGTTTATATATTAGATTTCCCACATTTCTAAGATTTGAGTTTATTCTATTTCAGAAAAGTGACGATGAGGAGGAACACACACTTTTTGGTCAGATCTGCAACCTGCTTTGAGTTAATGTTTCAGGCACAATTATCCCTCGAGAAACTACCACGCACAAATCAGGCTTGAATGAATAAATGGTGGTGAGGAGTGATCAGAGGATAACACAACAAAGGTGAATCTTTCTGACTGTAAGCCCATTACGCTGCTGATGTCCTGGCAGAATAGGCTCTCGTGAGAACTGAACTCATAATTGCGGCAGTCAAGCCTGCTGTAGCAATTAGAAATGGTGCCATGTGACTGCTTTGATAAGACTGGACGACTAGATAATCCCACCCTGTGTGTATGGTCACATATGATCGTCAGAGTGTAACTGGCAATCTGTTTGAGGCATATTTAAGCCGCAGTATTACAAAGACTGAAGTCACGCTACCCGAAAATCTAAACTGTGCTAAGGCAACATAATAACATTAATAATAATAAAGATGTCCGGTCAAACTTCCCTGCGGAAGCCTGGTAAGGATATCACACAGTAATAGATGTGTAACAGGCTCTCATGGCTGGAATCCGGACTGACAAAGTTCAGCTGTTGCCAACCCAGGGAGTAAAGTGCAACAAGAAAGCCATCAGGGATAAGATCTCTGTGTGTTTGCAGATAAATGTTCACCCATATCTTACATAAGTGCCGCTGTGCTTACACTGTATCCATTGCTTCACCTGCGCGTACTTAAACTAACCTGACAACAAAATGCTTCCAGTAAAGCCCATACGAGCTGAAATACATCATGACGCTGCATTAGATTACAGGCCTGTCAACGCTTGTTTGTTTACCAGAGACCAGCCAATGGCTTCCCCAGTGTTAAAAAGCCCACCTGATCATTTTTAAGAGACTGACTGCAGCGGCAGCTATTTAAAGCACAACTGGTTGTTGTTCCGCTCCAACTACACGGCTAGCTGGTGGACGCTAGGCTCCGCAGAACCTGACAGCTCACTAGCAACAACAGTAACGATTAAGCAGCACATGGCTCGGTTTGAAAACCGGGAGACGAGGGCTGTAACAAACAGTCTGGAGGCATTCCCCACTGACAACTTAGGTGAAAGCCAGCTAACTGTCTAGCTACTAGACAAGCAAGCTAGTGGTAGCAGCACAGACATAAACGTTAGTCAGCTGCAGTTAGCAGAGGCAACCTGTGACGCCATCCAAAAATATATATAAATGAAAAATATATTCAAGCACGGATTCGAGATTTCTTTCACAACTGTTTCTCCAAATACTGTCCGCGCAGCCCATCCCTCCTCGCTAGCAGCACTAGCTCCCACAGCAATTAGCTGGACAGGACGTCAAACCAAACGTAGTTCAACAACCTGCCAATTTAGCTAGACCTTGCACTTAAATAAAGACAAGCGCTTCATAAAAATACTTCAGGATTATCTCTGTGCTATAAGGAATAATAATTAAATTCGGCGCGGTCAGATTTTACACAGCGACTGTTTAACTACGTTATTTTTCAAGATTTCATTATCCACATACGCTTTCCGCTGCAACCCAGCGTTGTCTCTTACGAGGGCAAACGACTGCGGAAAATACATGCTCAGCTAGTGATTAACTAAACATCAGAAAAAATAAGGAAGCTTTTCGACAAATTTTAATGCCGAAATGAATACTGGGCACAACAATTCCATCGAGGCCGTGCGTTTACTTTATACCCGGCGTCTACTTCGTATAACAGGTGAACCCAGTTAAAGCGTTACACTTTAACGGGTGGTCAGGACGTTCTCTTTTCCATATGGCTAGCCCAAAAGCAGACAGCTAACCTAGCGCAACGACAGATTTCTACTTCCCACGATTTTTGGCTTACCTCTCTTAACGGCCTCGTCATATGACAGGAATCCTATCCTCGACTCCTTGGCCCCCATGCTCCCCTCATTTCATTGCAGTGTGAGGAAATAAACGTTACGAGCTGAGTTGGACAGGGGTGTTTGTCGCCTTATCCGTTTATTGTGAAATGGGCTCCTGGCGGTATGTGTATGTGGTGAACGGGTGAATGTTTTTCAGCGACGCCTCCATTCTGTCACATGATCTGACTCTACAGGTCAGTTGATCTGCGAGTTCTAATACGAGTGAACGCAACCCGAATCACATACAGGGGTGGGGGGTTTCGACTTCAGACGGGGTTTTCAGTCTTATCCGGGAGAATGCAAAACAGCACTTTTACTTAGTATGCGAAGTCATACCAAGCTGTCAGTGTGCGACGAGTGCAGCCACAGTTCAAAGCAGTGATAACAGCCCCACCGTGTGGTGGTGCTGCTGAATAACGCTAGCTGACTCTCCCCACAGCGACCCCCGAAGGTACGTTCAGTCAGACGATACTGGTGGCACATAGCAGATGAAAGTTTGCAATATATAGTGTCTAATAGTGACGGGCAGATGAAGCCTCATGAAGCACTGAAGCTTTTCATCCAATTGGTTCACCTCAACGCCAAGCTTCTTGAAGCTTCATTTGCTCGAGCAGGACACCTACTGGACGTAAAAATATTAGTTGGCATGAATTTGAAGAGTGTGGCATTTTGCACACAGCCTGTAAATGTCAACAACAAAAGGAGTGTGTAAAACATCTATATTGTAGTGATGGCAGTATACTGTGTATATTTATGCTGGCAGTATGGAAAATAATTATTTGCGGCAAAGTTCGAACCGCTTCCTGAACCAGTCACGTGGTACAGCCGGGCAGCGAGGCTTCGGACGTCATCATTTTCAGCTCCTCCCATAAATGAAGCAAGCCTCGATACGCGCTTCGCGGAAACGCCCCCTCCATTACTCGACACACGCTTCGAAGCTTCGATACAGAACGTCACATCAGTAGTAAGACTTGAGACTTACTTGAGACTTACTTGAGACTTACTTGAGACTTACTTGAGACTTACTTGAGACTTACTTGAGACTTACTTGAGACTTGAGGATAAAGACTTGAGACTTACTTGAGACTTGCAAAACAATGACTTGGTCCCACCTCTGTGGTGCTCACGGTCAGAGTTCAGTCACAAAGAGGGTAACCGAGATGAATTTAAAGTTAAGGTGATGGTGCTTAGATTCATTCACAGACTGAAACCTTCACACCAACTTTATCCTGTGTCTCTTAGTTTTAGACTAGTTGTTTAGTCTATTTTGATGTTTTAAACCATATCAC